TACTACTACTACTACTACTACTACTCGTACTACCTACTACCTACTACATACTACTTACTACTCACTACTTACTACTTACTACTCACTACTTACTACATACTACTTACTACATACTACTTACTACATACTAGATACTACTCACTACTTACTACATACTACTTACCACTACCACTACCACTACCCTTACCACTACTACTACTACTACTACTACCACTACCCCGCCCAGCCACTCAGCTACTCATGTTTTCTTCCAACCATTCACCCAACCACTCAGGTTTTTCCTGTCAGCAACTCAGCCACTCACGAAGTTTCTTCCAATCAGCCACTCAGCCACTCAGACTTTTTCTTCCTGTCAGCCACTCAGCTACTCAGGCTTTTCTTCCAATCAGCAATTCAAGCACTCAGACGTTTCTTCCTGTCAGCCGCTCAGCCACCCAGGTTTTTCTTCCAATCAGCCACTCAAGCACTCAGACTTTTCTTCCTGTCAGCCACTCAGCCACTCAGGTTTTTCTTCCTCTCAACCACTCAGCCACTCAGGATCTTGAGTGGCTGAGTGGCCGCCGTGAAGCGCGACCTGGGTTGCACATACGTTCTACAAATTGATGTTTTTTATCCTTTGAGGTGAACCTTGTGTGTCTGAAACTTGAAGCCATGGAGGTGGTTGGAAGAGGCAATATGTGAACGTTCCAACAAGGACACGGGCACCGGCACCAGCAGTGGAGACTCTCCACCCAAGACTCACTCCAAACGGACTGCCGTGCGCAAATAACCTGTGGCGGCCTCTTTTTCTTCGGCTTTGAGGTGCCAGCTGTTACTGTGCCGGACATTTTGTGCCAGCTGTCGTACAGGCCACGGCCGTGTTTCAAGAAACGACATGGACACTACATAGTCATTCTTTACGCAAGAAGGACGCACAATCCAGAAGCACAGGTTCACACCGTGGTGTTTGGCTCAGACATGCTGGGGGCATCGTTCCTTCGGCAGGGTCATTGTTGGCACGCGTTCACCTAAGGCATTGATCAGGGGCTGGGGGACGCATGCCCTTCATCAAAACAATTTTTCTCAAGAGGTACGTGGATCACCTGCAAAACCTTGGGGAGTTGGGGTCATCCCACTCCAACAGTTGGAAAATAACAAGGGTATTTTTCTTGATCGTGCAAGGAAACTGAGGGAGTCAACAAATTCACCAACACTTGCCCAAGGCACGCATTTTTATTTCATATTTATGAATATTTCAATTTGGATAAATCATTGAGGCACCTTTGTACGTGGCGCTTAAGGAGTGATCAAAGGATGTCAAGGGAGTTGACGCCAGCATGAGCACCATTGCATTTCGTTTGCTGTTCAGGTGATGCGTATCTATGGCTGAAGGCGGTCAAAAGTGGGCCATGGGCGGCCATGGATGTGGAAAGTGGGCCATGGATGTGGAAAGTGGGCCATGCGGAATCTGGATGTTGCACATTGAACCTTTGTGTGGACAAACTGCAACAGACAGACAAAAACAGGTGCAGAGTCAATATTGCCTTGAATTTTTGTTGGTGGAAAAAAGACGTGGTTTGTATGATGACATCATGACATGTTGGGGTCCTTACAGTGTTGTTTGGGTCACAAAAATGCATCCTAACTGATGATTTTGATGCCGGGACATGAGCAACGGCTTTTATTGGCAGTAGTCAAGATTAGTGGAAGGGGGGTTTCTTTTCTATAGCCCAATGTTAGATTTAGTTAGCGAAACGAGGTAGGAACACCCCGAGAACAAAATGGGCATCAATTGCGCAATTTGTTTGAGGAAATTGTTTTGTTAATGTCATGTTTAGCTGGTGAAACAAGGTAGGAACACCTCTCGAGAACGGTGCAGAATTCTTTAGTTTGTTGGATTTGGTGTTGGCCCATGTTCATGGATACTTGCGCTACCAGTTTAACTCAACTAAATACGTCTGAATATTATTTCAATTTCACTGTTTGCATCATCCACTGGGGTACGCGGCGGCTCGCTGCGTGCGCAACGAACAGCTCGCTTGCTCGAGGCGACACCCCGAAAAGCGGGGAGGCCGGGGGCCAGACAAGAGCGTTGGTTGTGGTAGGACAAGACCGGATGGGTGGGATAAGGAGACCTCCCTTAAGACCCCCTTGAAGAAAAATCGCATTTGGTGTTTCAAAAAACGGCACCAAAGGTCCAGCAATGTCCAGCAATTTCAAGACATGAAAAGTTTCGGAGTTCAAATTGAAAAAATAGTCGTAGTTTTAGTACTATTCATTTACTCATTAGTCATCCAGTGTGCAAAGTGGACCTGATTTCAGGCCAAGATCTTAAGATGATAATTAGCTTAGACATGGGCGCCGAGGGGTGCCAAATCACGTGACCCCTTTTGCCATGTCAGGTGCCCCCAGGCTATGTGGATGGAGAGGCCCGCGGCATCGGGCGCGACACGTAGGTGGCATGAACCGCTGGCAGTCAGCTCGTTTGGACCCTCCGCAGCACTAAACCGGAAACGTAGTAGCGCAAGTGCCACAAAAGTCGTGCAAGGTGGAATTTGCGTCAAACATTTGGGTGACATAGCTAGGCTAGGCTTGTTCGATTGGAAACGACATCCTGGGTTGACATGCTTTGTTGCCATTCTGGGATTTGTTTTGGCCCGCCACGTGATGCGTGTATGGGTCGTGTAATTATGGCTCATGGGGTTGTTCAGCCCCGGGGGATTTTTGAGCACAGCAAGAGGTGTGAGCAACGAGTCTATTCAAGACAGAATCTGTTGGGATTAACGGCGGCCCATGCCAGTTTCATGCAGCGCACAAAGGCAACAACCAAATTCAAATCGTGGCACATGTAGATCACAGCCGAAGTTCAACATTTTGCAAAGGACGAATCAGCCAGATGTTCCAGCAAACTCACGCACTGCCAGGAAACATTTTCTGTTTGGAACAGCTCTTTCGTTCTTTCAAAGGCTCAGCCGCCATGGCAAGCCTCCCACGTGACAGCCTCGTCGCGCGGATGCTCCAACGTGGCACGTTGCCGGCCTGGAACCTGTTTGACAAGGCGCTGGTGCAAGCTGGACATCAAAATGTTGGTACCAGGAAAGGATAGTGACAATTCATGGTCTACACATGCACTGCATGTATGGATCCAGGGATTTTAAGCCTATGGTTATTACAGTCTTTGGAATCACTGGTTACCAGCGACACTGTGGTTTGCCTCAGGTTTCGCAGTTGGGCCACCTGCAGGTCAAAGGGCCCTGGACGGGCGCCGTATGCCCAGTGCCCCATGTGGCCTCGAAAGTTCCGACGCAAGGCGTGTACCGGGGACCTGCGCGTGTGTGAGTACATGCATGTTATTCATGTATATTCATGTGTTGTTTGCTTTCCGTTTACCTTTTGCGCAAGCTTGCGTGGTCGAGAGATGTTAAGATCTTAACATTGATTGAAAGGCTTAAGCATGGCCTTCAATTCACTTGATTGGAACTGGGCATCGGCGAAATGCCCCGTCTGCAGCATGTGTCCACATGTGCCCTGCCAGGCCAAAGCGCAAAGGCACGGCCGCTGACTGATTCACAGTCTACGGCGGCCACCACTTCTAGCAAGACGGGTGAGGGGGCGTGGACGTGGGCCAGCTCAAATCAGGTGCCGAACTCCACTGTGCCCCTGCAAAGATTTGGGGACCACTGAGTTATCCGACTCCAAATTAAATCAACTTAAGTTTTTCCGTATAAGATACACGAGGGTTTCTGCCATGCATCAGGAGCGTCAGCTGGGCGGGGGTTCTCGCGAAGATCTTGGGCAACAGATGTCCTCAATGTGTATGGGACAGTTTGTTGCCTGACCTCAGCAGCTTTTAGCAAGACTCGCATCCGGTGTTGATGTTCAGGATCGCGCGCAAAAAAACGCTATACATCGTAGTATCACCTTACTTGGGATTTCCATCGAATTCACCTTCATCGTGCCTTCTCGCTTCCGGCGTTGGCCCGCCTCGCCTCGCATCGCGCATCGTCTCGTCGTCTCGAGGAGCAGCACCGGCTCGGTGGCATCGAGCGTGGTGGGATCGCTCGCGTCGAAGATCCGCGCCAGCCTGGGCTCCGCGCGCGAGGCGGCGGGCGGTTTCTTTCTGCATTTTTCAATGTGGATCAATATGGGGGTTTCGCGCTAAGAAATGATTCCACGGGGGGGTCAATGGGTGAAATATGGTGAAATCATGTTTATTTTTTCTATGTTTTTCCGGAATAATTTTTTGGAATGGGGGGGCATAGGGGGCAATTTCTACTATTACATGTCATGTTTGAATGCGCCTGAGTGTCATACAGACAGGGGGGTGCATAGACGTGAAAATTGCAACCTATATTTCAAACCCATCCGGAACCATTTACAATGATTCCAAAGGGGGGTTGAGGGGGGGACCCCTTGAACGCATCCTCCATGTGTTTTTTAATCTTTGAAAGGGACCCCTTTCGGGCCAAAAGGGTCGGCGAAGGGAGCAGGGGGACAGACTTAGGGAAATCGATGGGGCTTGAAGTGTTAATTATAACACCCAGACACGACGCATAGGACTGCCATATTTGCCTACATTGGGGTACGTAGTTTGGGGTGTCAATGTAGGCATGTATTCCATACATGGAGCCTGTGGGTAATACATATGTTGGTAGGACTTAGGACTTTCTGCTCATGCTTGAAATCTGCTGCCTTTGCCGGACCTTCAGCTCGCTCACTTAACGCGGCCGCCACGCCGCCGCGTTGGGCCGGTAGGCCTTGCAGCGGCCCAGCCGCCGGAAGATCGGCAAGCAGCGGCCCTCGCATCTGGTGACCCCGAAGCCCCGGCACCGGAAGAACGGCCCCTGGGCGGGAGGATGCTTCGGTGACGACGGGAGGATCGAGACGCGCCTATGATGGGACCGTAGACGGAGGTGATGACTTAACACGAATGAATGAAGTCACCTGACTTCGTCACAATCCGTTTTTGTTTTGGTTGATTCATTCATGTTGATTCTCAATTGGTCTCTTTGGGGTGGCCGGACGTTGTATTGTATAACATTTCGTATTCTGGATCAAGGACTCGTGGGAATCACCTCAGGAAGCTTGATTGGCCTTTGAGGGGCAACTTTGCTGGAGCGGGGCATCCGGACTAGGCCGAACTGGGCATCGCCCCTAAGTGCTTCCTACTATTTGATCATTGCCGAACTTGCTGGTTCAGATGGGTAGTCCAACGGTTCAGATGGGTAGTCCAACTACAAGACACATGACGATGGCAGATAATATGCGTCCATGGTTTTTGAAACGCACACTCCCAGGGAAGCAGCGGCCTTCGCATTTGGCACCCTTGGCGGTGATGCAGCTACCCAGGCAGACCGCTAGTTGACCACTGGGTGGTGGGTCAAAACAGGGGGCACCCCCTAGTTTGACAAGTGACAAAGAGCAGAGTAGATTACACGGGAGGTCCACCTACCAGGGTTTGGAGCTCCAGGCTTTCACCCACTGCCAGATATTATTTGTGACCCTGGCGAACACATTGCCGTCAGAAGCAATGAAAACATAAACGGATGCAATTGGTTGCGACGAGGTGACATGTTCTGGATGTTCATGACAGTTCTGTTGGTTTCGCAGGCTCAGTTTTCACACATTCTCGCACTCGCCACGTCGAACCCCCCCCTGCCCCATTTGCCCATTTGGAGGCCCACGGCAGAAGGCTTGACAAAAGTCCCACAGATCAGTGCTGGCGGTGATTTGGCCACCTCAGGCAGCTGGGACCAAAGCCGGACACTTGCGAACCAGCTGCTTCCACTGGCTGGTGTTCAGGAGGGAGCTCAGGAGCTGAGGGTATCCATATTCCATCATATTCCCCTGTATACAGGGAGCCGGAATTGAAAGCAGCGACCACGGGAGTTCCCCCAACCCGGAGCGACCACGTCCCAGGGAGCACCTTCCACAAGACAGACAGGCAAACAGAGAGAGGCCCTTCCCGGGCCAAAGAGGATTGTTCGAAGCGGAATTTGAGGTCGGCCCAAAGAGAAAAGCAAGAGCCAAGAGAGAAGCTGAGCTGATGAAAGGTGTCAATGTTTTTGGCTGTAAATGTTTGTGACGGTGTTGAAGATGACCAGGGAGTTCATCAAGATTGTTGCATTGAGGCTTGTGTATGTGTATTCCATGTATATTAGCCACCGACTGGTGCCAGTGAGCCTTGTGTAGTTGCATAGAAACTATTGTGACATATTGTGACCTGTAGACTTCCTGGCTTTGCATGGTAGGGAAGGCCCTATCGCAGATCTGTGAGGTCAATCAAGATCTGAGTATGGGTGGACCGGGCAACTTAAGACACCTAGAAGTGCTGCAAAATCAAAGCCTCAATGACTCGTAGGAAGATACGGTCTAGAGATTGGCAACGTCAACAGCTGAGAGATGCTGAGCTGTTGGTCACCAGCAAGGTGAACACCCGAAAGTCCTGCTGCCCGAAGGGATCAGTGGATCACACAGAAAATACATTTAGCACTCCAAAAGTGCAATTCCCTGTGTCGCATTCGTAAAGTGGTCTTTTGATGCCTTTTGATGGGCATGCCATCCGCGTGACAAACCTTCTTGCATGTTGTGACTGTGAGGGAGGGGCACGGGGCATGCCATCCGAAAGGTTATATACAAAAAGCATCCCCAAAAAAAGGCCACTGCCATGGACACAAAAAAATTATCCCTGGGGCCGAAAGGTTACAAAAAACATCATCGACTGATCTCAGGAACCAAGAGCTCCTCCTCTCAGAAGAAGAAGAAGCGCTCCTCTGCCGAGCTCGACGCCACCGCCGCGCCCAGCAGCAGCCCGCGCGGAGCTCGTGACACGGAGCAGCTCGTGCGGAAGGAGCGGACAGGGACGATGGCAGCGCCCAAGACGAAGCCCGTGAAGAAGCTGAAGCAGAAGGCACCTCGGATGAAGGGAAGTCATGACTTCATCAAGCACATATGATTCCCCGCTAGACCGAACTAGAACAAATTGAACAAGCATGTGGAGGCTGGCGTGTGCTTACCCACCACCAGCTTAAGCCAGCTTATGTCAGCTTCACTTCGGCCATCCGTCTGGTTCACGCTGCGTATCGCTGCGTGGGGCCCTCCGTCTAGCCGCTGCCGATCCCAGGAACCGATCACCAAGCGCATGGGACTCAAAGTGCCGAAGCGCGCGGAGGAGAACTACGACCTCTCCGACCTGGCAGCCGAGCTAAAAACGGATCCAGTCTGACTGGTGTGGCTGACTCGGGTTTGGTGTCTTTGTTGGGGGGAGGTTCTTTTTGGTCACGGATGGCTTTGGGGAGATGGGGACTTGAGATGATAGGAACTTGATCATCTTGATCCCTCCAAAAAGCCGATGGGAATCCTCTTTGTGAGCCGTGGTAGTATGTAGTCGCTTCTATTTTTGTTGGATGTACGATGGGTTGACATGGGGAAGGATGAGTAGGGAATTCCTGGTATACCCCTGAAGAGTGATAATTTTCACTCCAAATTGAAATGATCAATCTTTGGGGAAGTGGGGTGACAACAAGCACTCGGGAGTGATAATAGTTTCTCCAGAATGGTTTTTGTTGCTCCGCAACGTATCCTGAACGCAAAGCCAACGTTAATTAAAAGGCAAAGTGAACACAATCTGAACGCAATGACTGTTTTTTTCCCACTCGGATTGCTTTTTTGCATTTTTTTGTCACCCCACTTTCCAAAAAGATTGATGATTTCAACATGGAGTGCTAATTCTCACTCTTCAGGGGTACCAGGTCTCAAAAATCAGTCCCCATTCTGTTTGTCACAGGTTGCTGTGATGGTAGGGCAAGATTGATGTTTGGATGTAGCAGCAGGTCGAAGTTCACAAAAACATGGCATGAATGAGGGGTAATGTAAGGGCATGGAACTAAGTTGTTTGTGATTCATGTTTCCTTCATGTAGCAGCATTTTGGTGTCAGATGTCACAGGCATTTTGGAGACAAAAATGACTCTCCCCCGCCCACGTCCACGGTCGAGTGGAAGCCGAGGAAGAAGATGAGGACGGGAATCGGATTGAGCCAGATCGACTGAGGAAGCACATCCCTGCACCTTCGACTGCAGGCAGTTCTCAAGTGGTTTCAGAGGGGAGAGTTATGGCACGCCAGGCACGCCAAGATGTCTTTTTGGATGGGGGGTCCAATATTAACCACCTTAATCAATGTAGAATCTTGATTAATAACCCCCCCAATTTGGGTTGAACAACCTCTTCTTGCCTCGGGGATTTGATTCATCAAGCGTCTACATTACCACCGATTTTGGGATTGTGCCATCTACTCTCAATTCACGGAGCGAGAGGAGTGGCAAGATCATGACTTTGCAGGTCATCCATATACCTGGGGCATCCAAGGGGTCTCCAATAGACTACCCAATACTTGGGCTTGCATTGGGCACCCGTTGGATGGTCCTGCTACTGTAGGGACCCGCGTGCTCATTTTCCAAGTGTTTTCTTTCATTCTTTCTTGAAGTGCCGCCAATTATGAGTTCTGCGCGTGGATTTCGTTTCCCTACAATTCCAAGCACCAGTAGTGATTTTCTAGTTCGAACCCCGAACAACCGTTGTTTTTGCTAAGGCTGCTAAGGCTTTAAGACTACAAAACCAGGTCAACCATTTTTTTCCCCAAACAGTGTGGGCACACTGAGGGGTTGTTACGGTAGGTGAAAGGAAGCTGATTCTTAGATCGCTGAAGCGCGCGGCCGTGAACGGCTAATTCGTTGCTATTTACAGTACATTCACGCCTCTCGACATCGTCCATGTGCACTTCGACTGCGCAGGCTCGCAAAATCTGCCTGCCCGCGGTGGGTGCTTCAGGCGACTGCGCTCTCGACTTTTCGTGACAGGTGCAAAGGATCGGAGCTGTTTTACTTCGAAATGCAGTTTACGTGGCAGGTGCAGCACTTTGGACATGGTGGTGATCGTCAAGGAGCTCAGGTTTCGTGACAGGCGCAGTGAATCGTGACTTTTGGAAATGTCGCTCGTTTGCAGATTGCAGCACTTTGTCAACCTCGAAGTGCAGATTTCGTGGCAGGTACAGCACTTTGTGAACCTCGAAGTGCAGATTTCGTGGCAGGCGCAGCATTTGGTGAACCTCGAAGTGCAGATTTCGTAGCAGGCACAGCATTTGGTGAACCTTGAAGTGCAGATTTCGTGGCAGGTACAGCACTTCGTGAACCTCGACGTGCAGATTTCGTGGCAGGCACAGCATTTGGTGAACCTCGAAGTGCAGATTTCGTGGCAGGCGCAGCGCTTGGTGAACCTCGATGTGCAGATTTCGTGGCAGGCACAGCAATTGATCACTTGCTGAACCTCGAAGTGCAGATTTCCTGACAGGTACAGCACTTTGTGACTCTGTGAACCTCGAAGTGGAGATTTCGTGGCAGGTGCAGTACTTGCTTGGTGAATTGTAGGTTTTCGTGGCAGGTGCAGTACTTTGTGCTCTTCGATGCACTCTCTCACTCTCCCACTTTCACTCACACGAGACTCACACCCCCTCACACTCCCACTCTCACTCTCACTCACACTCGCACTCACACCCACTCTCCCACTCTCACTCGCACTCTCACTCACACTCACACTCACTCACTCGCATTCACACTCATTCTCATCCACACTTACTCCCACTCAC